AGTTCAGTTCGAGTAGGCGATTTGGGTCCATGCTCATTGTCTTGCACTTGTTCGTGTTGCATGTGTTTTGTCTCCACTGTTTGAACCTTAAACGGCATGGTACCCTACGTCTGAAGAAAGTACAAATGTGTTCTATTGATACTTTCTCAGCCGACGGGTACCGGACATATATGGGTTCCCTATTCCTATTTTCTACAACTACTATGAAGCATAGCATTTGAAAATCGACCATATTATCTATTCCTAATTTTTACAAACAGCTGACCATCGGATCCGAGGCTTCCTCTTGTTGTTACCATGTGAGAACGATGGTACACAGAAGTCGGATATGTCGGGTTTGCTGAATAGCGCGCGGTTTATCAATAGCACAAAGGCTCAATAAAAAAGCTCCCACTTCCAGCTAAATTATCTCGGTTTCTATCAGAGATATCAAAAATTTGTCAACTGATAAAATGTTTATCAGGTTATCAGCAACATTTTATCAGTTGACAAATTTTTGATATCTGTAACAGGAACCGAGATAATTGAGCTGGAAGTGGGAGCTTTTTTATTGAGCATTTATGCTATTTTAAAAATGACCATGAACCTTTAAATATCTCTTTGCCTATTAACAATCAACTATGCACCTTTAAAGATTTTCTACTGTAGAAATTGAGTNGTGGTTTATCATCGATTCTAGCTGCGCCCTACCGCACTCTCCTTCGCATTCTACAACCCCTGCGTCTCTCACTTCTCTCACCCAAGTCTTTCCCAGAGGATTTTTAACGCGTCGTCGCGCTGTGGGACCCAAATAAATTCAATAATTCCTTATAATCAATAGGACCGGTCCAATACAGGGTATAAATAGGCCGAGGAATCCCTGGAAAACGTCGTTCCTTTCATTTCTTCTTTCGTTTTTTTGTCCCATTGCTCATTCTTACTATTGATTTTCCAGAATCTTCCAAAAATTATGCCAGTCTGCGAGATCCATCTCCAACCAAGAGGTTCCGCCGAGCCACTCATCGTCAAGGATTTCGATCTTATCAAACAGATGCCAGTTGTGCTCGAGCTGTTGAGTTAGAGGTAAGGGATTACTGTAGCTTTTCTAATTGGTAGTTGGGTCATTTACCGTCATTTTTAGTCTTTTCAACAAAAATTTAAACCATTTTAGGCTAATAGTAACTTATGGAAACTAGATACTTTTAGGCTCAATGCATGGTATTTTAGACTAAAATTAGACAATTTTCTAGCAAAACTAGGCCATTTTAGTCCAAATTTCTATTAATTTCTAAATGGAATTTATCTAGATCTGTCCCAAGTTTTAAAAAATCTCTTTCGAAAATATCACACATAGGTAGTTTTTAACACACAATATGTGGTACTCCACCCTCCACCCTCGAGCCAAAATAGTTGAAAAAGCCACCACCACTTAACCGCCTTCCACATCTTCGTCGACAGTGGGCAGCGTGGTGTCGGGGATGTGGTGCGTGCTGGTGGGCGCGAGGTCGCGAGTTCGAACCTGCCTTGAATTTTTAGTTTTTCAAACTCTTTTTGGTTTTTGAGGTGTGTTTGAGCACCCTAGCAAAGCAAAAAAGTACGTCCCAATACCATTATCTAACCATTTTCTTTCAGAACCCCGACTGGGAAACCACCGATACCATCTTGGCAACACCACTTCCAATTCCATTTGAAAAAGAGACAATGGAGTTCATGTTCAACAACATGCGTCGCTACAAAGCGCCAGCCGACGACGATTTCGAGACAAAAGCCGAAGATTATCCAGAAGCCTACGCAAAGGATGTCTATGACCTCAAACCAATCATCGAATTGGCCAACTACACGGAGAACACGGATTTTATGAACTGTATCGGATTCGTGATTGCTAAGAAGTTGGAGAAAATGAGCATTGAGTCGATTGCCGAGTTCTTGGGAGTCGAGTGCTTGCCAGAGGGAAATTTCTTCGATGAGAAGGATGGATGGATTCATGCTCCAGCTGAACTCTTTGAGGCTGAGAAGTCACAGGCAGCAGGAGCGGCGCCACAAGCTCAGTGATCTTTTGATCTATTATTCCTAACCACCGATCCGGACCCCTCATTCCCTTTTCCTGTTTTTCCCAATCATCTTAACCTACGGGTATTTCTTCTTTTTTAAATCTCTCCCTATCCCTTTGATCCTAACCGATCCTCTCCTTTAAACCTTACTTAATTGATAAATAAATCTGTTACCGAACAACACTTCTTTTTCTTGAAAATTTCAAATTATACAATACGATTTTAATATCAATAGAAAGCCAAGAAAAAAAACCCTGAAAATTTCAAAAAAATAACTATCTTTCCAAATGGACAAAATTAATGATGGAATTTGGACCTTGATAACCCGGGAATTAAAATTTCAAATTTTGTAATTGTTACCAATTAAAAGCAAAAAGTTTGGCAATTCCAAAAATGTAATTATCTTTCCAAACGGACCATTTTAGATATGCGTCTTTAAACGTTTTCCACTTGGTGAAATCTTGAAATTCTAAGATTTGGACCCAGATAACTGGGCAGTGGGTGACAAAGTTCAGTAATTTATTATCACTCAAAAGCTGAAATTTTGAGGATCCCGAAAATATTTTTCATTTTTCAATAGGACAATTTTGAGCCAAGTTATGCGCCTTCAAAAAATAATGACTTTCAGATTTCGGAACTACGGAAATTAGGACCTTGATGACTTTGCAAATCAAATGAAATATAGGTTCTTATAATGTCACTGGGAAGCTCAAAATCCGGTGATTCCGAAAATACAGTTGTTTTTCTAATTGGACCATTCTGAGCCAAGTTACGCTGCGTTCAAGCGTGCTCTATGGACAATCTTCCGTTAGGCGCCTTTCTAGCCGGCTTCGCGGCAAATTGATAATTCAAAAAGCTTGGAAAACTCAAAAACATGCATTAGCAGAATGATACTAATATAACTTACACAATAAACTTCTTCCGGATCATCAGTTATCGATTTTCTGGGTGTCGTAAAAGAATCTTCATGGTCCAAAATGAAAATCGACCATCTTCTTCCAATATCCATTTCTGGCGACACTTCCGTCTTTTCGAATTCCATTTTTAGAATAAAATAGCTGGAAATAACCCCGACAAGTCTGAAAATCCGGGTGTATAAGTATTTATTCCGTTTTCTTTCCCTCCCCCAACTTTTATTTCCGCTTCAGTTAACTTCAAAATTTTTGAGGTCTCGCTACGTCATGTGTATAAGCTTCCGTGCACTTTGGGTGTCATGAAAACAAGCATGTTCATTGGTGTTTTAAGCTGAAAATGTCAGTAAACGCCTGGAAAAGTGATTCAGGAAGTTTTTGTTTCAAAATCCCGCGGTTTTGTATAGCAGGCGGCCTAGAAAACTCTGTGTGTGTACTCCTCGAGGACAAGAGGAATTAATTTATTTTTTGGATTTTTTCCAATTTTCTCGAACTTTTCTCATGGAATCCCGAGATTTTTGGTTTTCAAAAAACGAAATCAACAAGCGACCAAAGTTTTATCTAGCTCCGATGGTCCGCTACTCAAAGCAAGTGCCCAAAAAATCGATTTTTTAACAAATTTCTATTTTTCCAGACTCGCCTTCCGCCAACTCGTCCGATTATACGATGTAGACGTCTGTTACACCCCAATGATTTATGCCAAAAATTTCATCGAGTCAGAAAAGTGCCGAAATTCAGAATTATCAGTTTGCGAAGGGGATTCACCGTTGATAGTTCAATTCGCCACCGATGACCCATTTGTATTAGCCGAAGCTGCGGAAATGGTTTATAGGTGAGACAAACAGGGGGAAAATCTAATTTCAAGTAAAATTTCACCCAGAAAATTGATTTTGTAGTGAAAAAATAGAAAAAAAACTGATTTTCAGCTGCTCCTCAGGTGTGGACCTAAACTGTGGATGTCCTAAGCACGACGTTCGTTCAAAAGGCTTTGGAAGTGCTCTTCTGAGCAAACCAGAGCTCCTAGCCGATATGGTTCGGCAGACGAGAGCCAGAATTTCCGATGAGAATTTCAGCGTTTCGCTGAAAATTCGAGTGAATAAGGAGATTGAAAAGACCGTGGATTTGTGTAGAAAAGTGAGTTAATAGTCAAAAAATGATCGCAAAAGTCGAATTTCAGAGTGAAAATTACCCTAAAACATGTCTAAACCCTTAAATTAAGCCAAATTATTCTGGGTAATAAATTAGAAGTTTTAAGCAATTTTAGACTAAATTAAGGGTATTTTAAATCAAAATTTTCGCCGTTTTGAACCAATTTTGAGCCATTTTAGCCAGTTCACAGGCGATTTTAAGCCTATTTCTGACCATTTTAAACCAAAATCACAAGTTTTGTATAGTCTAAATTTAGGCTATTTTTGACCAGTTTTAGACGGTTTTGAACCGATTTTTACAGTTCAAAATCGAAATTTCAGGCTATTTTAGGGCTATTTTAAACCAAAATTTTGAAATTTGAAATCGATTTTTCAGCCATTTTAGCCCGAATTAAAGCTATTTAGAACCAAGTTTTAACAAATTTAAACCGAAATTTCAGGTTTCTTGAATCCCGATTTTCGGCTATTTTTGACAATTTCAGCATACTTGTAACGGGCCGGGCCGGGCTTTTTCCGGAATTTCGGAGGCTCGGCGGGCCCGTCATTTCACTAGTTTCGAAATTTTCAAAAAACATAAGGGGGGACCCTTATGTGATTTTTTTCGACCAAAGAATATTTTTTCGAGTTTTTCGATCTTTTTTGATCAGACAGACAAACAATCCGAAATACGAAAAAAAAAATGGAAAAAATTATATTGAGAGCTCAAAATTTGGCTCAATAATACAGAATTTTTGACACCGGGCCTTCCGGGCCTTTTGAGCCAAATTGTGACAATTTCGAACCGAAATTTTAACGCCGTTTTAAACCTAAATTTAGGCTATTTTTGACAAATTTAGGGCTGTTTCCAATAAGGGTTCCATTCGGTCGGGAAATTTAGCCGACCGACCGACCATCGACCCCGCCGACCGACAGCCAACCGAGTTGACCGATCGGTCGGAGCGCCAACCGTTTTCGTGCATTTGCTCGTCAACGTGTTTGCATACGCTGCATTGTATTTTACGACAAACTACTCAATAAATGCCTCGTCTGTCGTAAAATAAAGTACGCAAAAACTCGTATTTTGATGCGCAAAGGCACGAAATCGGCTGGCGCGCCGACCGATCGGTCAGCTCGGTCGGCTGTCGATCGGCGGTCGGCGATTTCCGACCGACCGAAATGGAAGCCTTAGTTTCCAAACGATTTTGACAATCTATGTTTTAGGCCGAATCCGCTGGTGTGACGCATCTAACCGTGCACGGACGAACGCCGTCTCAACACGCCGAACCAATCGATATCGAGGCGATTCGATTGGTAAAATCAGCTGTGAAAGTTCCAATAATTGCGAATGGAGGCATTACGAATCTACAGGAAGCAATGAATTTGGCTGAAAAAACTGGGGTCGATGGGATAATGGCGGCGAATGGGCTATTGGATAATCCGGCACTTTTCGCTGGCTACGAGTATACGCCTAGCGATTGTGTAGAGAGTTTTGTAAGGGTTTTTTGAGTTTTAGGCTGAGATTTGGCTCAAAATTCGCTATATTCCAGATGCGCCTATCTCGCGAACACGGCCTCGACTGGCTTCTCTACCATCAACACCTTCAATATATGCTCCGCCCACTTCTCTCGGCTCAACAACGACGAATATTCAATGAGCTGAACGGGCGGCTGGCGATTGATGGCTTTTTGAATAATTTATTGGCTGATTATTGATTTTTTTGTTGTTGATATTTCTGAAAAATTCCGCCTTTTTGTCCTAAACAATTCCATATTTTTTCCTGGTTTTCTATTGATTTTTGACTTGCTTTGCCCGGTTTTCTTGTAGATTTTTCCCAATTTTTGCAATTTTTGTTGATTTTGAGATAGTTTTTTTTTGTAAAAATGAATATAAAGCACACACAAAACAACAAAAATAATACCACAATTCAAAGGTTATTGCTTCAACAAAACACGAGCCAACGCTCGGAAATCGACGGCGTCGTTGAGTTTTTTGGCGATTCCGACGGGCGGTTTGAAGCCGGGAGCTCCTGAAAACCGTTAGAGATTTGGCGGGAATTTGAGATTTTTCAATAATTTGGAGAAAAAAGCGAAAAATTCGAATTTCCCGCGCATTTTCTACATTTTAGCAGTTGTTCGGCGGAGCGCAAAATCAGCAACATAAACATAGAACTTTCCAGAGAAATTTCAATATTTTTTAGCGAAAAACACAGAAAATAAGCGATTATTCTGAAGGTTTCGCCGAAAAATTCAAACTTCCCGCGAATTTTTTCCCGTTTTAGCGATAGTTCGGTAGAGCGCAAAACCCACAACAGAAAAAATGAGAAAAAAAAAAGATTTTTACATAAAAAGGTATTCTCAAACGAAAATCGGAGAAAATAGGCGATTTTTATGGAAATTCCATCGAAAAATTCAAATTCCCCCCGCCCATTTTCACCATTTGAGCAGCTATAGATCGGTAGAGCGCAGATTCTACAGCGAAAAAATGGTGGAAAATTCGGTTTTTCGAGAAAAAAAATGCATACAAAAAATATTTTAAGAGAAGATCGGAGGGAAAAAAAGCAAAGATTTTCAATTTTTTTGTCATAAACCAGTCAGTTTTTGATCAAACTCAACAATTTCAACATATTCGTGTTCAGCTTGGAAAGGGCTTCAAAATGAGTATAAACATGACTAGGATTGCTAAATTTTTGATTTTACGAGTTTAAAGGCGCAGCGGGAGGGGCAGGGGTGGCTGAATTTCAATTTTCGGGAAAGTAGGTCATGCTTATACTCATTTTGAAGCTCATGGGAAGCCAAAAACGAATATGTTAAAATTTTTGAGTTTAGTCGAAAATTGACAGATTTACGGCTCTTTTAGGCAATTCGACTGTGTATCTCGGTGGCAAACTTCGCTAATTCAGTCAGTTTTCCACCAAACCCAAAGTTTTTTACACATTTGTATTTGGCTTATAATGGGCTTCAAAATGAGTACAAACATGACTATCTCCCACGCATTTCTCAACAGAGCGCACTTACTGATTCCTGTCTGATGTCCATTATTGTTTCTCAGCGGCGCCGGTGCCACAGGTCCCCTCCCACGTCGTCCCACTGAAAAGAGCTCAAAAAAATTAGTAGAGATTCTTTGGCGATGTTACCTATACCAGAATTTCGGGTCATTGGTCGAACGATTGTACGACGATTTGATCTGGAATTAAAAACAATTTTTGGCGCCACACATTTTTGTGGTTATCCGTGGAGCGCGTTTGCTGCCAAAGCTTCTAGGAAATGCGCTCTAACGATAGTTTGTTCGTTAGAGCGCGTTTTCTCATTAGAGCGCACTTACGTTCTTGTCTGATTGAATTGTGCATTAACCAGGAGAATAGATAATAGAAGAACGAGAATGATGTGTGTGTTCATCTGGAAGTTCTGAAAATATTTTCGAACTTTTCAGAAAAAATAACTTTTAAATAAAATTCTAGAAACTTCTTCAAAGTTCTAAAGAAAGACCAATAAAACAGGGAGTCAGAAAAGTTGAAAAAGTAATTTTCAGCTTAGAAAATGCCAATCTTTTTTTGCGGTCTAAAAAATAATAAAATTCTAAGAATCCTAAAACTTCTATTCCATTTTATAGGTCAAAAAAGGTACTAAAATCCGAACCAGTTGACCGTGACCTAGAAAATAAGGAAACGGTAGGAACCAGGAAGGAAAATGCTTTGATTATTGACACCGACAAGGTAGATCGAAAGATTATAACTGTTGTAAATCAGTTAGTTTTCGACCAAGCTCAAAAGTTTGACTATATTTGTGATTGGCTTGAAAAGATCTTCAAAATGAGTATAAACATGACTAGGTTTACTCAATTTTCGATTTTACGACTTTAAAGGCGCATAAGGAGTGTCGAAAACCGAAATTCTGGGAAGTAGGTCATGTTTATACTCATTTCAAATCTCTTAATGAGCCAAATATTAATATCATAAAAATTTTGAGTATAGTCGAAAACTGACTGATTATATTATATATTATATATTATATATTATATATTATATATTATATATTATATATTATATATTATATATTATATATTATATATTATATATTATATATTATATATTATATATTATATATTATATATTATATATTATATATTATATATTATATATTATATATTATATATTATATATTATATATTATACATCCCTTTTAATACAAAAATTGAAACCTTCAAACCCCCTTTGATCGAGTGATTTCTGTGAGCTGCGGAGCTTAATTCTTCCTGTGAATCCTATTACACTAAACACCAAACGTTTCATTAAAGCTGTAAATCAGTCAGTTTTCGACCAAACTCAAAAGTTTAACCATATTCATGTTTGGCTTGTGAAGGGCTTCAAAATGAATATAAACAAGACCATGATTTCTCAATTTTCGATTTTTCGACTTTAAAGGCGCATAGCCGGGGTCGAAATTTGAAATTCTGGAAAGTAGGTCGTGTTTATAATCATTTAGAAGCTCATGACAAGACAATTTCAAATGAGGTAACATTTCTGAGATTAGTCAAAAATTGATGGACTTATGACACTTTTAAGCAATTCGACCGTGTAGCTCAGGTTTCAACTTTAAACTTAAAAGTGTTGTGAATCAGTCAGTTTTCGACCAAACTCAAAAATATTATCATGCTCATGCTAGGTTTGTGAAGAGCTTCAAAATGAGTATAAACACAGCTAAGATTTCTCAATTTTCAATTTTTCGACTTTAAAGGCGCATTGCGGGAGTCAAAACTCGAAATTTTGGTAAGTAGGTCATGATTATACTCATTTTGGAGATTATAATCAGCTTATCATGAATAAATTGAAATTTTGGAGTTTAGGCAAAAATTGGTTGGTTTACGGTACTTTAAAGCGTTGAGACAGTGTAGCTCAGGTTTCAACTTTGAATATATATGCTGTTAACCAGTCAGTTCAAGACCAAACTCAAAAATTTTAACAAATTTGTGTTTAGCTTGTTAAGAGCTTCAAAATGAGTATGAACATGACAAGGATTGCTAAACTTTTGATTTTTGACTTTAAAGGGGGACTCCGACCAGAAATTTTTATTGCATTAAACTGTGTTAAAAGTTATCTATTTTTCAAATATTATTGCGAAAAAATTCAAAAAAAAATTCGAAATCCCCGAAAAACGGCGTTGAAAAGGAAGAAAATTCAAAAAAAGGTGCCGCCGGGGGACGAGGATTTTCAGTGAGAAACCTAGGCCACGGCAGCGGGTGCCTTTCCTACGTGGCAAATTTTCCGGATTTTTTTCAATTTCATGTCCGGCAGGTAAA